TAGAACCTAGAGGCTACTGTTCCTTTAAATCCTCCATAGGCTCCTATACTTAAGAATTGAACTTCAGGAGCTGAAAAATAGTATTTCGACCGTTTTCGGCCGAGTGGCAATAATAAAGCTAGGTAGCCATGTACTTCAGCTGTGCACCATGAGAGTTATGTCATATGTTGTCCAGCGTTTAAAAAAAATATCGCAAAATTACTAACTGTCACCACATTTGTGCCTGAAAAACAGTCGCGCAGTCGAATAGGGGCCATACATTGAAAGAATTCGTTTTAAATTACCAGTAACTATCCACCCATCTCCATGTGCATGTCATTGCCACACACGATAGCCAGCCTAAATAATGCAACCACAAAACATCGCGTCAGCTTTAGTGCACAAGCTGCGGGCCCTCCGATTGGTCGGCCGATGACGCGTCACATTCTCTAAAAGCTCTTGATTATATTCTACACAGTAAACAAGTTACAATAAGACATTCGAGCACATCTAAGCTCTACTCATGCAGTCATTTTTTCCGCCATATAACTGTATATGAAATTATATAAACACGAACGTATAACATAACTTGCAGCATAGCACTACTGCCGAGTAGGTACTGCTTAATCCCTCACAATCGACGGAAACCATAAGTTATTACGCGTACGCACGCACGCACACACACGTAAAGATTTATATTTAAGTGTATACCTACCTTCTTTTAAATGCGGGCACGTGTTCGCTGTCGCGCACAGAAAGAGAGAAAGTGCGTGCAGAAAAGGAGAGAAAGCACGCGCTAGGAAGAGAGGTAGAGATCGCGTAAGAAAGAAAAGAGAGAGTGCACAAGAACGCAGAGAGGGAGAGCACACACGGGAAATGAGAGAGGGAGAGTGCGCGCAGGAAAGGAGAGAGAGTGCACACAAGAAAGGAGAGAGACGGCGCAAAAAAGGAGAAAAGAGAGAGAGAGAGCACGCGCAGGAAAGGAGAGAGACTGCGCACAAGAAAGGAGAGAGAGCGCGCGCACGAGAAAGGAGAAAGAGCGCGCGCATGAGAAAGGAGAAAGAGAGAGAGCGCGTGCACGAGAAAGGAGAGAGAGCGCGCGCATGAGAAAGTAGAGAGAGAGAGTGTGCACGAGAAAGGAGAAAGAGAGAGAGCGCGCGCGCAGGAAAGGAGAGAGAGCGCGCGCGCAAGAAAGGAGAGAGAGGGAGAGCACGCACAGGAAAGGAGAGATAGCGTGCGCGCGAGAAAGGAGAGAGAGCGCGCTCGCAAGAAAGGAGAGAGAGCGCGCGCAAGAAAAGAGAGAGAGCGCGCACAAGAAAGGAGAAACAGAGATCGTGCGCACAAGAAAGGAGAAACAGAGATCGCGCGCAAGAAAGGAGAGATAGAGCGCGTGCAAGAAAGGAGAGAGAGTGTGCACAGGAAAGGAGAGAGAGCGCGCGCGCAAAAATGAGCGAGAGAGAGAGAGCACGCGTAGGAAAGGAGAGAGAGTGCGTGCGCGCAAGAAAGGAGAGAGAGAGAGAGAGAGAGAGCGCGCGCAAGAAAGGAGAGAGAGAGTGCGTGCAAGAAAGGAGAGAGAGTGTGCAAAGGAAAGGAGAGAGAGCGCGCGCGTTATATAGGAGAAAGGTTCTTAGGTTGCACAATAAATAATAAGAATAATCCGACGTTTTACACAAGCGCTTTCATCTTTATAGAATCTTCAAGTCTATATGTATATATAGCACGCTATTATCTATGGCACGGAAAAGTTGTGGATATCTCGATGAGTTACGCTGTTTCGTTTTAGACTTCGCTCTAATCCCTACATTTACCATATATCGCAGCATGGCTTATAGTGCGTGTGTATATATATATGTGTGGGTGTGTGAATGTGTGCGCGGTTGCGTGCGTTTGTTTGTACGAGTGTGAGTATGTGGCTATGTGCGCGAGTACGTTCCTACGTGTATGTGCGCGTGTGCGTATGCGTCTGTGTGGGTGTGTGGAGGGGGTGTACGTGTTAGTGCGTGTGTGTTTGTGTGTGTGTGTGTGCGAGTACGTTCCTACGTGTATGTGCGCGTGTGCGTATGCGTCTGTGTGGGTGTGTGGAGGGGGTGTAGGTGTTTAACACGTGGAGACGTTAGACCATCTCCTCAGTTTTTCAAATGTGTTTCACCACACAGATGTTCTTGTGTTTCAGGTTCTTCGGGCGTGTGTCAGGGGAGGAAGTGTGGGCCCAAGCCTCCGTGAGAGAGGCGGTCTTTGAGAGCCTGTGTGACCTCACGAAGCATGCAGCTGGCATGCGGTGGCTGCGCTACAACCCAACGTGTGAGTGTCTTAGTGTAGTAGCTTACCCGCGAGGACAACCCCTTCCCAAGTCGTAGGCAGTATTCTGCCTTCTCCATGCATTTCAAACTAGGGAGTGCAGGAGTGGCAGGGTATGTCACTCGAAGCATAATCGTGAATGTGCGCAAGAAAGGAGAAAGAGAGCGCGCAAGACAGGAGAGAGAGCACGCGCAAGAAAAGGGAGAGAGAGAAAAGGAGAGTTATAACGCAAGAAAAGAGCGAGAGTGCCCAAGAAAGGAGAAAGAGAGAGAGAGAGAGAGAGAGAGAGAGAGAGAGAGAGGGAGAGACAGAGGGAGAGCGGGATGCAGAGAGATAGAAAGAAAGAGAGAGAATCACGTTCGCACTAAAGCTATAGACGTTCGTCTATGAACATAGGATCGACTGGATATACAGCTGCACATGTCATATAATATTGATATAATTCACTAATTGTAAAAAATTACAATCCAGGCGTGATTAATCGTAATTAATTGCTGTGAAAAGCAATAATACTTCACATGTTCACCGCGTGTTGGCAGCATCGTCCAGTCATGTAGTTAGACTGGTACTCGCTCCCACCTCGATTACTCGATTCTCGTAACCCTAACCCCAACCCTAACCCTAACCCTAACCCTAAGCCGAAAGGTGGGACCGGGTACCAGTCTATCATGTAATCAGTTGTAATGCCGGCGTTTGCCGCGTGGTGGCAGCATCGTCCAGTCATGTAATGTGAGGGACCACGATCGTAAAGCCTAAGAGTTAGTAAGTTGGTATTGAGATTGTATTTCTAATTGTATAAGGAATATTCTCTCACTATTTTGACCGAATTGTACGTACAAGTGATTAATACATGTACTATAATTTAATACAGTATAAATTATAGAGTGGCGGTAGTGGCAGCAGGCAACATAAACTGAGAAAGACGTGATATCTATGATTTGGACCGCCATGATCTTGTAAAAAAACGTGAGATCGCCCTTTTCTAAGATAAATCGGTGCGGTTACCTATACATACAATTACAAGTTAGTAAATTATGTGTGAAATAAGCTCTGTAAGATTCTGAATTAAAGCAGCGTTAATATAAGGCATATACACGGCTAACTTGCTAACGTTCGAAAAGCGAAAATCGTCAAAATGTACATGTATTGGAATTATGACACTCCTCACGTTATTACACAGGGTATAATGATTATGTTGTACACAGTCATATGCAGATGTATGACCGTGTCTTGGAGCTAAATAATCTACACACGTTCTTCTAAAATTCAAACTGTCAGTGTATTTCTGCGATTCGCCACTAGAGTGCGCCGACGACGAGAATGGTCGGTGAGAACAACCAGGGCCTCAGGAAGTTGAGAGAGCTGCTGGGATTTCTCCTCGATGGAAACTTTCCGAGGGATGACACGAGTTTGGACAGTCTGCTAACTGCGCTGTCCGCGTACGGAGGTATAGCAACGGTTCGATTCAATTCAATTCAATTCAGTTCACTTTAATTCATGTTTGGTTACACTTAGCTCTAGTACTATAGCCCGCGTTCGATTAACTGCCGCAGGCCGTTGCCTGCGGCAGTTAATCGAACGCGGGCTATAGTACTAGAGCTAGGTTACACTATGAACATATTTATACTCTTCTATGAGCATGCGTGCATTCATGCACAAACCCTGTATGGTTAGGAAGTTGGGGTTAGTCTTTGATAGCTATGTTAAGCCAACCTCTTATAATTACTACTACTACGTACTCAATCCTATATCGTAGTCATCTATCCAGGGAACTGCTTTCAGTACATGACCACGTATCGAGCGCTGTGATTGGCTGTCAGGTTGTTCATCGACTCGCTCGTTTGTGCTGTAGGTGTGCATCTCGCCGGCGACGATGGCATCACGCAGTTCCTGGCATCCGTCCAACAAAACACGGCCGTTAGACCGGCGCTGGCGTCGTTTGCTGTGCGGCTAGTGGGGGTCATCTGCAGGACGGAAGAGGCATTTCTGCTGATGAGAGGCAGACTATCAGGGTAGGCAGGAAACTCCGGGTCGTGGTGCTTATTGAAGTAAATTATTTCCGGTGTGGTAAATATTTTTCTCCTGACCTTTACGACAGATCTTCTACTCTTAGGTAGTAGTGGCACAGAATGCACGAGTCACACCCTATCAGGGTGCGAAATTAACGGGAGTCCGGAGTCGAATACTCCCTGATTTACTGTTGGATTCCCTGATTTGACATATGCAGGAGTCCGTGTGACTCGCTGGAAATTCTGCCATACTATCTAGTTCGTTCCGGAGCACGGCCTCGTGGAATTACCGTACTTTTTCAGTTAATGTCCAAAGAAAATTTGGCAGGCCTGCAACTGCATGAATCTTAAAAATAAGCACATGCGTTATTGTTTTAATATCTTTAATTTTGAACCTCAGACTGTGGACTCCCTCATTTTGCTGCGGACTCTCTCTTTTTGAGGGCAGGGAGTCCGTTGTGTTCAAAAGTTAATTTCTACCCCTGCCCTATGGTCACACCCCACCACTAATTATCTTCTTAAACCATTCATGTGTCAACCCTTCCATTGCAGCAGTAAGCCACGATTTGACAGCATTTGAGCTAGAACGCGATCGCAGGACATTGTCACGTTTCGATATTTTGTTTTTAAATGTTGCCTAAATAAAACGCACAAAATGTTTAACACGTGGAGACGTTAGACCATCTCCTCAGTTTGTGTGTGTGGGTGGGTGTGTGTGTGTGTGTGTGTGTGTGTAATGTATGTGTGTGTGTGCGTGCGTAGCGTGCGTGCGTGCGTGCGTGCGTGGCGTGCGTGCGTGCGTGCGTGGCGTGCGCGTGGTGCGTGCGTGCGTGCGTGGTGTGTCGTGTGGTGTGTGTTGTGTGTGGGTTGTTGGGTGGTGGGTGTCTGTGTGTGTGGGTGGGCGATGTGTGTGTGGGTGTGTGTTGTGGGTGGCGGTGTGTGGGTGCTGTGTTGTGTGTGGGTGTGTGGGTGGTCAGGATGTGTGTGTGGTGGGCGGGTGTGTGGAGGGGGTGTAGGGTGCTTTAACACGTGGAACGTTTAAGAACCATAACCTCCCTCAGTTTTTCAAATTTGTTCTCACGCACACAGAATGTTCTTGTGTTTCAGGTTCTTGCGGCGTGTGTGAAGGGGAGGAAAGATGTGGGCCCAAAGCCTCCGTGAGAGAGAGGCGGTCTTTGAGAGCCTTGTGTGACCTCACGAAGCATGCAGCTGGCATGCGGTGGCTGCGCTACAACCCAACGTGTGAGTGTCTGTAGTAGCTTACCCACGAGGACAGCCCCTTCCCAAGTCGTAGGCAGTATTCTGCCTTCTCCATGCATTTCAAACTAGGGAGTGCAGGAGTGGCAGGGTATGTCACTCGAAGCATAATCGTCAATGTGACATATCTGATCAAGAGCTAGTGATAGCTCTCAGGTGTTATTATCAGGTGTTATTATCAGGTGTTACTATCAGGTGTTATTATCAGGTGTTATTATCAGGTGTTATTATTATCACAAGCTATTATCATTAGTTATCAGTAGCTGTTTATCGGACCCATGACTGCGGCGTGGCGGCGGCGGCGGCGGCGGCCGGATGCTCACAGTGACACGACATACGCGCGAATATTTCAGCTAAGCTCGTGAAGCTAGCTTTCCTCGCTCTCAGCGACAGCAGCATCTTCGTCTGCGGCTCCGCCCAGCACTTCCTCGGCCGTTACCTAGGCGACGCGCACAGCATCCAGGAGGCGGAGGAACTGCCGCCAGGTGGCGCCGCTGCGTTGAGCGACCCGGGGTTCTGCATCCGCCAGCTTGTCGGAGTCGCGTTCGGCGATGCGGCGGTTGCCGCGGCGACGCATCGGCAGTACGACGGCTGCGAGCGGACGTGGAGATCTGAGCGCGCCCGCACCAACGCGATGCAGCTGCTGGTGCTGCTGAGTGAGACGGGTGCCGTCTCCAACCTTGTTGCCCTGCGATGTGGCGACGCGGAGGCGCTGGCGACGCTCTACGACGCGGGAGACGCACGCGTCTGTGAGGCGTCGACGGGTCTCGCGGTCGCCATGGCGACGGACGTGGCGGAGCTGCGGGAGTTAGCGCGAGGGTTACTGAGACGACGCGGGTTTACGCGGGCAGCACTGATGCTGGCTGCAGCCACGATGAGACGGTTCAGGTGAGTGCCTCCTGAGACATCTGTCTCTGCTGCAGGGAAAAAAATAAAATTTATTTTTCGGGGGCTACTTTTCAAGCTCGCGTGCATGAAAATAGCACTCTAAAATTTGGTTTGCATTGAACTCTATGCAAATTTCCGGGGGCTCTTTTTGGCATTTCCGGGGCTCTTTTTGGCATTTCGGGGGCTAAATCGCCCCGAGCCCCCGTGAATCTTTTTCACTGCTCTGCTGTCTCAATATGTTGTAGTTACCAATATAGGTACCAGAGTAAGGAGCAGTGTGGCAGGTAGAAACAGGCAGTATACACTGCAGAGTATTACGGTATACTTGTATACAGTGTGTTTACTCTCATAATAAGGTGTGATATGTTATCGATGATGACGTTGCAGGCATGGCAACACGCCAGATTGGCAGGAGTTTCTCGACATCATGCTGGAACCCGTGTCTGTGATGCTGAGGCAGCGCTCCTCCTCCGACGGTCGCCACGGCAACGACAATGCGGACGCCCTGCTCCACAGTCTCGCTGCCGTGAAATCCCTCGTAGCAGACAACAGCTGTCCACAGGTCTGTGTTCCATCGTTCGATCGTTTGATCACGATGTTCCATCGCCATGTTCCATCGTTCGATTGTTCGATCACGGTGTTCGTTCGCCGAGTTCCATCGTTCGATCGTTCGACACGGTGTTCAATCGCCGTGTTCGATCGTTAGATCATGGTGTTCGATCGCCGTGTTCCATCGTTAGATCATGGTGTTCGATCGCCGTGTTCCATCGTTAGATCATGGTGTTCGATCGTTCGATTGTTCGATCACCGTGTTCCATCGTTCGATCGCCGTGTTCGATCATTTGATCACCGTGTTCGATCGTTCGATCACCGTGTTCGATCGTTCGATCACCGTGTTCCATCGTTCCATCGTTCAATCGCTGTGTTTGCTGTTTAATCACTGTTCGATCGTTCAATCACCGTGTTCGATCGTTCGATCGCCGTGTTTGACGTTATCTACGTTTCGTCTCGTCGATCACAGGCCACACACCGTGTCATCCGCCGGCCAATGATGGACATGCTGAAGCGCACTCTGGTGGCAGACGCGAGCGGCCGTTCGCATGCACCCCCTGGTGACAGAGTGACATCCGCGGCACTCGGGGTGGTAGAAGCGACGTTGGATGGCTCAGGTGAGAGCGTTGCTGCTGTTGCTTGCTAACCGATCGCTCGGTGATCAACCCTAATGTTCTTAGTCATCACACCTAGAAGCGTAATCCACCCGTGTGGATGAGAGGGCCTGCACCAGGTGTGTGGCATGCTGATTGGTGTCTACATAATACACGTATGTATGAGTAATAACGTGTCACGTTGCATCCTTAGTTACCGTGGCGATGGACAACGACGAGGCGGAGGAGCTGATTGTGATGCTGTGTGGCGCCGCCGACAACCCGCAGCTGTCCTGCCCCCTGGTGGTGCAAGTCGTGCGCATTCTCGGGCTGGCGTTGCTGGCTGTTGCGACAGAGCCAGCCATCGCCGCGGAGTTAGAGGTGCTGCATGTGATTGTTAGTTCTCTCTCCCTGCTGTGTGGTTTACACGCCCCACGCAGCCTGAGCCGTGAAGCGCGAATGTATAGCAGGATAGAGCGCTTACGTGAATTAAAATTTCCGGCAGCTGTAGTAACATTTACCGAGGCCAGGAGATGTGTGACTAACTGGATGAGCTCGTACCTTGTATCTCGTACCTAGTACCTTGTTTCCATATTGGAATTTCCGAAAATAATAGTATGTGTAAGACACATCGTCAGGCAGTTTAACAATAGTTGCATCATAAGACTCTCTAGTCAGTCACATTTTTTATTTTCAAAATTGCTTCAGCTACAGAAATTACTAGAATCATTGGACGAAGTCACAATCAGCTCTGGTCTGATTGACTCGCGTTATGTCTCCGTAACACGCGGCGATGTGTGACTCACCGCTTTCTCGCGTGGCTGTAGGTGGCGCTGATGGCAGCGGGCGACGTGCTGAACAAGCGTAGTCTGGACGTGCGTTGGGAGGTTCGTGATTCGTGTCTCGCATGTCTGTGTCGGCTCGCCGGCTGCTCCCCGCTCTCTGATTGGCTGGTGCGAGGGCGTCTGCACGGCGTCTGCTACAGAGCGACGAATGACGCGGAGAGCTACGTCCGCGCGACCGCGATCGAGGCGACGGGCGCGCTGTTCAACGACGACGCACACAGCGGCGCCCTCTGGCGGGACTGCCACTGCGACCTGGTGAGTAGAGTTGTTGTTTTTTGGGAGGACGTTCGTTTGTTTTAGATTAGCGTCCGGATGGAGGCAGGGTGTGAGTGGGGTGAATGATTATTCAACTCTCTAGCTAATGCTTTCCACTTCTGAAGCTTCACATGTACATGTACACCTGCTGCCTATACAGAAATTATTACCTCCGCCAAGGGGTTGGCAGGAGGTTATGTTTTCACCCGGCGATGTTGTTTGTTCGGCGTTTGTGTTGTTTGGTTTGGTGTGGGTTTTGTTTGTGTTTACAGCCTTAACTGAAAAAAGTTATGTGACGGATTGTCATAAAATTTTTCAGGATATGGTTCAGAATGGAGGTAACTTAGATATTTGATTACATTTTTGGTGCGTGATCCGGATCAATTTGTGCTGCTACTACTGTACTATGTTACTTATTGGTGCTTTGCTACTACTGCTACTACTGCTACTGCTGCTGCTGCTATATCTGCTTGCTACTGCTGCTTGCTATGTGCTACTACATTGCTGCCTGTTGCCTACTACTTCTCGCTGCCTGTTGCTGCTGCCACTGCTGCCTACTACTACTGCTGCTGCTGCTGCTACTGCTGTCTTACTGCTGCTACTGCTGCTACTGCTGCCTGCCTGCTGTGCTTTGCTTGTTGCTGCTACTGCTGCTATTACTTTTGCTGCACTGCTACTGATTTACTGTGCTACTTACTACTGTTTACTGCTGCTGCCTTGTCTTACTTGCTGCTACTGCTGCTTACTGCTAGCTTACTGCTGCTACTGCTGCTTGCGCTGCTGCTGTGCTGCCTGCTACTTGCTGCCTTATCTTACTGCTGCTTGCTACTTGATACTTGCTAGCTACTACTGCTGTGCTGCGTGCTTTGCTACTGCCTGCTACTGCTTGCTACTGCTGACTGCTGCTTTGCTGCTGCTCTGCTTGCTGCTGCTACCTGCTGCTAATTACTGCTGCGTTGCTACTGATACTGTGCTACTACTTACCGCTTTGCCTTGCCTGCTTGGCCCTACTGCTGCTACTGCCTGCTACTGCTGCTTCTGCTGTCTGGCTGCTGATGCTGTTGCTACTGCTGCTGATTACTGCCCTGCTTGCTACTGATACTGCCTGCTACTACTGGCTGCTGCTGCTGCAATTTATTTGCTTGCTATTGGCTGTTACTACTAACTGCCTGCTATTATTTGCCATTGCTGCTACTTGCTGACCTATTTACTGCTTAACTGCTGCTGCTGCTCGCTACTGCTGCTGCTTACTGCTTGCTTGCCTTACTGTCACATGTCCCTATCTTCACTCTTCCCGTGTTTTGCTGCCAGGATCGGATGGGATTTGAGCAGTGGCGAGAAGCGTGATTCACGTGACTACGGAGGCTTTTCCTCCGTCGCTCCACTGCCATAGGTTTGCTGCTGCAGCTCTTACCCCGCCACTTGCCGCCGCCCGCCCTGAACACAAGGTGGCGCACGCTCGCCCTCTTCCGACGACACGTATTGCGATGACGACGACTCGCGCAGCTGGTCGAGCGAAACAAACCGCGCGGGAGTAGGAGGAGTGATGGGCGAGTAGAGGAGGCGATGAGGAGCGAGGGAGTGATGGGAGGAAGAAGTCGAGTGAGGAGGAGGAGGAGGAAGGAGGAGGAAAACAACAGTGAAGCTGGAGAGGATTTGCGTGAAGGAAGGATGAGGGAAGGAATGTGATGACAGAGAGGAAGGAGATTGGGAGAGGGAGTCAGAAACAGTGAAGATGTAGGGAGGATTATTACTGCAGCGTCAAGGGTTGCGTCGTGATTGAGGCATGAGGGGAAGATTACTGCAGTGAGCTGGGTGAGTGAGGATGAGGGAAGGAAGGTGATGACAGTAGAGAGGAGATTTGGAGAGGGAGCAGAAACAAGGACAGATGTCGGAAGATTGCTTTGCATGGGAAGGCTGCGGTGAGTGAGGATGTCGGGAAGATTGCTGCAGGTGAGACTGCGGTGAGTGAGGATGTCGGGAAGATTGCTGCAGGTGAGGCTGCGGTGAGTGAGGATGAGGATGCTGGAAAAGCAGTCGACAACGGAGAGGAGGAGATGAAAGAAGGAGACAGGAGCAAGGAGGATGCAGGGGAGGGAGACAACGATGGGGAGGGCACCGTCCTGGACCGTCTCTGTTCCATCATGCAGGCAGCGACCCGCGACCTTGACTGGGAGGTCAAGCTCACCGCACTCACCTTCTGGCGCGAGCTCGTTACCGACACCTTCACGCCACCAGGGGGCGCCGACGACGGCCGCACATCGCCGACGCTCACCCCAGAGGGCGCCGCAGGAGCCTTCAGCGTCCTGGTCGCTGCTGGCTGCGTTCGCTCGCTGCTGGAGGCGACGACCGACTATGACGACTCCGTCCAGCAGAGGGCGCTAGCCGACCTGCGCGCTCTCGGCGCACTCCTCGCTGGCAGGTCCGTCGCCACGGCGACGCCCAACTCTCCCCGCCTCCCGGTTGCCGGGGGCGACGAGGACGCGGGGCTGCTGAGGCTCGTGATGGAGGCGGAGGGACGGCGAGGAGCGGGGAGCGAGACACGGCGAGACGGTGCTGTGCGGTGCTCGAGACAATACTGGACGACCTCATACAGGAGATGTGTGCCTCGCGAGACGATGAGACGCGGAGATAATGGTCACCGACTGTCTACTTGTGTAGTACTCGAGTAGTGTAGTCAGTGAGACGTGCTACTGAGTGGTGCGTGAGAGTGAGTAAGTGCGAGACTGTCCTACTGAGATGGAGAGTGAGGTCAGTGTAGACTGCTTACGATGGTGGAGAGGTGATGTCTAGTGAGATGCTACTGAGATGGAGGAGTGAGTGCAGGTGAGATTGCTACTGAGTATTTGTGATCGACGTGAGTCAGTGAGACTGCTTACTGAGTTGTTGTGGAGATGAGTCAAGTTGAGTTACTGCTACTGAGGGTGGGAGTTGAGTCAGTGAGACTGTACTGAGGTGGGATGATGTGAGTCAGTGAGACTAGCTACTGAGGTGAAATGTGAGTTCAAGTGTAGATTGCTACTGAGATGTCGAGATGTGAAGTACAGTGATGACTGCTACTGAGGGTGATGAGAATGAGTCGCAGTGATGAACTGTACTGACGGTGGAGAGTGAGTCAGTGGTTAGACTGCTACTGAGGTTGGGAGCAGTGAGTCAGTGAGGACTGCTACTGAGGTGTAAAGTGAGTCAGTGAGATTTGTACTGGAGGTGGAGGTGAGTTCAGTGAGAACTGCTTACTGATGGTGAGAGTGAGTCATGTGATGACTGCTACTGAGGTGAGAGTTGAGTCAGTGGGACCTGTCTACTGAGTCGTGGAGAAATTGAGTCAGTGACGACTGCTACTGAGGTGGAGAGTGAGTGTGAAGTATTGCGCTGATCTGCAGATGGAGAGTGGATGTTTCAGCTGAGACTGCTTACTTGATGGTGCTGAGAGTGATTGTCAGTGAGACTGCATACTTTGAGTGTGGTGGGGTAGCAGTGGTCATCTGGGCGTCATCTGAGGTTGGAGAGTGAGTCAGCTGAGACTGCTACTTGAGGCTGTGAGAGTGGTCCACTGGTACTGCTACTGGAGGTGGATAGAGTGAAGTCAGTGTAGCTGCTACTGAGGTGGAGCAGTGAGTGTCAGTGAGACTGTACTCTGAGATTGGGAGTGAGCCAGTCAGTTGAGATTGCTCTGGATGGGAGTCAGTGAGTTCAGTGATGTTACTGCTTACTGAGGCTGTGAGAATGAGTGGTGGTAGTCGCTAGGTGAGACTGCTACTGGGTGGAGGAGTGAGTCAGTGTGGCTGCCTACTGAGGTGGTGAGAGTGGACGTCAGTGAGTACTGCTTATGAGTGTGAAAGGTGAGTGCAGGTGAGATTGCTACTGAAGTATGGATGAGTGAGTCATCTGGAGGATTGCTACTGAGGTGTAGATATGCAGTCAGTGAGACATGCTACTGAGGTGGATCGAGTGAGTCAGTGGAGACTGCTACTGAGAGATGGAGAGTGAGTTCAGTGTAGACTGATACTTTGAGGTGAAAGTTGATCAGTTGAGGAATTCGCTTACTGAGTGTGGGAGGATCGAGTCAGTGAGACTGCTACTTGAGGTGAGGAGTGAGTCAGTGAGACTCAGCTACTGAGGTGAGGAGTGAGTCTCAGTGGACTGCCTACTTGACGAGGTGGATTGAATTTAGTTCAGTGATGACTGTTTACTGAGGTGGAGAGTGAGTTCAAATGTGAGATTTGCACTGAGAATGGAGAGTGAGTCAAGTGAGAAATTGCTACTGATAGGTGGCGAGGCACGTGAGTCAGTGAAGGAACTGCTACTGAGTGTGAGAGTGAGTCACTGAGGCTGCTACTGTAGGTGGAGAGTGAGGTCAGTGAGACTGTACTGAGGGGTTGTGAGAGTTGAGTTCAGTGAGACTGTACTGAGGTGGAGAGTGAATGTCCAGTGAGAGCTAGATATAGAGATAGAGAGAGATAGAGTCAGTGAGACTTGCTCTGCAGGTGCGAGAGTGAGTCAGTGAGACCTGCTACTGGAGGTTGGAGAGTGACGTCAGTGAGATGCTCTGATGGTGTCGGTGAGAGTGAGTCAGTGAGACTGCTACTGAGGTGGAGAGTGAGTCAGTGAGACTGCTACTGAGGTGGAGAGTGAGTCAGTGAGACTGCTACTGAGGTGGACATTGGAACCTGTTGCCAGAAACATCGTGAATACTTGTGTCTATCGTAAATCTAAAATGTCATAATTTGTGCATGACACTTTACTATAAACGATCTGACATTTTAGACGTATTTATAGACATAAAAACTGACTAATGTGTGTGAAAACAGGTCTCAGGTTACTAGCTGGTACTGAGGGAGGTGGACTGTGGTAATTAACTGTGATTTAAGAGAGTCTGACACTAATTGTGTTGATTACACCGATGTCAGACTGCTGTGGAGATGCAGACCATGTTTAATTACTGTGATTAAAAACAGTCAGACACTAGTCATGGCAAGAACTAATAGAAAGTAGGAAAATGAAAAAGGTAAACGTATTCACTGAGTGTATAAGATATCAGACTGCTAAATTAAGGGGGATGTCTTACGCTAGTAAAGGATTGCTACAGGAGAGACAGTTGATATACTGGTCATTGGTTTTGTATCAAGGAAGGAATCGTTGCTGATTGTAATAACAACGTAGCGATCTGCTGATGCTACATCCCCACAGCTAGAAATTCTAGGATAAGAATTGCGAATCTGAATGATTGTATTTGATATGATCTCACTGTTAATCTGTGCCAAAGGGTATAATTAGTATTAAGCAAAGTGCAGCCAGTTTGCCTGATTTGCTGAAATTATTATAGCAATAATGTACTGAATTCTGAAACTTTCTGCTATTAAATAAAGCCTTGAGTTTTTATGAAATGAGACTGTTTTTCCGTGAAACAAAGTTTGTAATGAGGCAGATGTAGCGTGCCGTGGTCGGTGTATTTAATTACACCTGACGTGCGGCGTGTCATAATCAAATGTGCGAATGCAAAAACACGGGACAGGTGTTTGAATAGTCGAATAAAACCATTTTATTTTTCTCTGTATTTATAGAGCACATGTAGTTTGCTGTATTCATCATGAGGGGATAAATACAGTTCATTGTGATTACGCTATGCTGACGTCATGCATCGGGGTCATGACCCGAGTCGCGATGCTCCCACTAACACATGAGTCTGCTGCGTTAAATATCTAACTCTTTCCCCACGGCGCAACAATTCCGTGAGACGCTCGCTCACCAGCCACAGAATGCAGCGGCCGGAGCGTTAGCTTCTAAATCACACGAGTAATGTCCGCGGGCAGCATTAGTATTGTATTAGTTAGCAGCTTTCTGCTTGTGTTACACGGTACATGTTGAGTGACAGGGAGCGTGCGTGACGTCACGCACTGGTCAGGGAGGGAGGGAGGGTGGGCGTGTCCACATCACGCTACCCTCGCTCGACTACACCCTGCCACGCCCCGCCACGCCCCTCCCCGCGACCCATCCGCCACAATCAGCGACTGCAGTGACGGCGCGTGTGTATGCGACGACGTAGTGTCACGGGGAGTCATTGCCTCATCACTACATGCTTAACACTGCCTCCCACTCGTTGACCCTACGACCTTGCCCCCCCCCTGAGCTACGTTAGGGGTTACAGTTATAGTGAGCCCAGCACGCAGCCAGACTCTCCTATCTACACAGGTTCTACGTTAGCAAGCACTGTCTCTAATCGCACTCTCGGGACCCCTCAAACTATCGGCAAAATAAATAAACGATATTTATACATCGGTGTATTCTGTATCATACATTCCCGCACAAAATTCTCGAATTCAGATTCGCAAAATTCCTTTCTCGAAGCGTGACGACCGTTACCCCGCCTCCGCTCGATCGCACCCTCCCTCCCGCACCCATACAGCTTCACGCTCCACTATATGTTAGCAGGAAACTGCTGCAGCATAAGCCGTGGTGGAGGCGGAAACCTAGCCGCTTAATTACCGCCATGAAAACCGCCTCAATAAGTTAAAACGTCATCAATAATAACTCTAACACGGTACAGCTCTAATAATAAACGAAAAGGAGGAGGGGTGGTGGAGGAGGAGGAGGGGTGGTGGAGGAGGAGGAGGGGTGGAGGAGCAGAAGGAGGGGTGTTGGAGGAGGAGGAGGTGTTGGAGGAGGCGGTCGGGTTGTGACTAGCACTGCCGACGACGTTAACATATTTACAGTGAGATTCGTAACGCACACAAACAACTGTACATACATACAATACATATATACGGGATCGAGGGGGAAGCTTAATGAACGCTGCGATAGAACTACCACTTAATTAAGACGTTGTAAAGTAATTAATAATAGTAAAAATCATGATTGGTGGAACCCTCGTCACCGGATCGCCACGACGAATCATAAACTCCGTTGCCGATTCAGTCGTCCTCGCGACCAGCGAAGTATTGCCGATTAAATGCTCAGTTGTTTAACCGACCAGGACCCACTGCAATCGTCCGACTACTCTGACGCGTAAGAACATGTTTCATGCGCTAGCGCCCGGCCGCCTCCCTTCACGCGATGTGTGGGCTGTGCCATGGTGGAGGGTGGCAGCAGTATGTAGGAGAGTGGGAACAGAAGAGGTCGTGGTGATGTATAGATGGGGCAAGAGAAAAGGACAAAGGAGAAAAAGGGAGCAAAAGATGAAGAGAGACAAGAGAAGACAGGGAGAGAGAGCCCACACCAGAACGTGCGCTGAATGAGGGACATATCTACATCGTTGCCATCTTGGCGAGCCGTGGTTATAAGCTTAGTCCAGTAGCACTTGTGTGTTGTTGGCATGTGAAGGTTGGTAGTAATGCACTTACGGAACCACCTACATACCTGCCACCATCTGGTAAAGAAACCAGGGTAGCCCTATCCCATCAGGTGGCATCACCGTCTTATTTTTTACACATCTGTCCCACCAGGTGGCATTACCCTCTCATTTGGTGGCGTCACCATTAGATTTTGTGACGGGACTATCTCATCAGATTAATGTTTCATCAGGTGGTGTCATAGTACCACTAGATGGAGACACTGTCGCCTCCTACTTTTCCTCGTGCTCTGAATACGGACTCTTCTCTCGCAGCGGCTGGTTGAGAAGTCTGCCGCTAGATGGCGTTGTCGGGCTGTTGCGTGAGTTCTTCGGCGTTGTGTGCGGGCTCATGAACACGTCTGCGTCGCCGCCGTCGCCGTTGGTTACGTCGTGCGCCGGAGGCGAGGACCCGCCCGAGCGGCTGCTGTGACGCCGCACCGCGTCACACGGCTCCTGGTGGAGGCGCCACTGTAGCTGCTCGTTCTCCATTGACAGCCTCTTGTTTGCTTGCGACTCCTTGTTGAAGTGCGTGCGAAGCTTGATCTGGTCGTGTGTCAGTTGCCTGCAAACACACAGCGGCTTATTGTCAGTTAATTATATCAATTATGTGTAATTAATGAGTCCAGGTTAATAAATTAGCGATTAGATCATTAGCCTAATAAAAACGAACATATCAAATATGTATATATATATATATA